TGCGCGGCCTGGTGCTGGGCCGATTTTCCCAGGTTCTTTTTCGAGATGCCACTTAGGCATCGACTGCCCGACGGAGCAAGCAGGCGTGAGAAAAACTTGGCGGAACATGGCCTTCAACAGCAACGTCCCATGCTCAATCCGGGGTCAACAGCATCAGTGCGGAGCTTTCGCCGCGTAGGTCTTGAACTTGGCGGACCTTCGTGGCCAGCGTGCACCACTGGAGGAGTTGCAGGTGGGTGCAACGTGTTGGGCAGAGATTTTGAAGGAAGCAGCTAACGTGGCAAAATGTGGCAAAGTTAAAGGGTGCCTTTCTGACATACAAGTGCTTTAGAAATCTTCGAGAGGCAAAGAAAGAGAGAAAGCCAAGGGAGGAGAGTAAGGAGGCACATAGTTTGGGGCGTCCTCCAGGGTATCACAGGCACTCTGAAAGCACTCCGGAAAGCCTGTGTGTCAAGCATGAAAGTTGTCCAAAGCAGAATAGCGGCAAGTATCGGCCAAGCTGAAGACTCGGAATGCCAGCTGAGAGGAAAGCAGACCCCAACATGCTCACCAGTCAGATTTCTGAGAGGTGATGTTTCGGGTGGCCCGAAAATCAAGGGGAGGTCCCGGCAGGGTGCATCCGCCAGGTGCCGCTGGACCCAGCCCTGCGCAACAGATCCGTGCCCGTGGCCAGCAGCTTGGCCACGATTTGGCGTAAAGACGGCATCGCGCGACACCGCGGACGCCGTGCGAAATAGATCTAGATAGCCTAACCTTCCAGGGAAACCGACAGATTGATTCATGGGTATGTGTTCATTTGTTCATTTGTGCAGACATGGCTTCACTCACTCTTGTTTGGGCTTATCCGCGAGGCAAGCCTTCAAAGGCGCCGACCGTGGAAAAGGTGGAGGCTGGTTAGGGCTCGGGTCGAGGCTTGGAATCTATGGCTGGATGGGCCCACTTGGGAACTCCCACTCAAAATGAGCCAAGCGGTTTGTCTTGGTCACAGGCACTGCGTAGCACAGACCCCGCCCCCCAGAAAAAGAGAGATCACCAAGTCACAGAACCAAGACAGGCACGACTCCTGAAGCGCTTCGCACTGCCTAGCACAGTTTCGCCCGCTAGGCACCAAAATGCAGCACAAGCTTTTGGGGGGAATGAACCACCCTGGGTTTCAGTCAACCCTGGGGTAGTCAAAAAGTTGAACCCTGCTCCTCCTATTTACTGGCGCAGGAGCCCCTCTCAGCGCGCTCCGGGCGCTCTGACGCGGTGAGCGTGCAGAGCTTCCGGAGCGTGGCTTCAACCAGCGTGCAGCGACACACTCAGAAGCTATCAGGAGCTTTATTTCGCTCTTGTGACCTGGTGTCGGCTTGGCATGAATTGGCCGGGTGATGTGTCCGCCCTCTCTTGTCTTCCTGCCCTGTGTGACGTACGCCGGGCGTTTGTTGGCAATCGCTCTGGCAGAGCCACTGCAAGCGGATGACGAATGTTGCACAGCTCCCCCAGCAATTGGCCACGCACATTCAAGGGTGACATTTAGATGTTCAGCCCTCTGTCCAACACAGCCTGGGCGAATGTCTTTTCAGACCTGTGCTATTTCATTTTGCTTTGTTTCTGCAGGACCAAAGAAGTCCTCGGCTGAAATCAAGCAGTTGGTCAAGGACTTTGTGCGTGAAATGGTGAAGGGCAAGGAGATGGAAGTGCTGCGAGCGGATGGCAGCCGCATGGCCGTGAAGTGCGGCCTCACCAGGCCTGAAATCGAAGATCCCAGAAACTCAAGCGTTGCGCAGGGGTGGACATAGCTTGAAACAATTGCAGGTGCCGTTTCTTGCTCGCTTGCACGTACCATTTCTTAGTCGGGAGGACATGGGAACTAGGGGTGCACATGTTCCACATCAGATTACCTAAGTCCCTGTTCGGAAGTTCCTGGATGTTGTGGCACAATGTTGCCAGGCGGCGGCCGGTGCCTTGTCCCGCTTTCTTGTGAGGAGCCCAAGTCAGTGTTGGTGATTCAAGAACTGAATACCACTACTTTGACAAAGTATTGTGTGAGAAGCAGACCGTGACAGCCCGTGTGAGCCCTCCGTGCGCGTAGATTCCTTGGACCCTGGAGGTCTCTGGACACCTTGCGCCTCAAGTCCGGCTCGGAAACCCGGCACCTGGGCTTGGCGGAGGCGGACCGCAAAGCGCGCGTTGCGCGCGCTGCGGAGTGGTCGGGTCATGGGTTTATGGCAAGTTGGAGATTTTCCCTGCACTTTCCCGGCCTTAGATTTGACCTGCCAGTTCCGCCAAATTGTAGTGCCTGTGTATCTTAGTCGTAGTTGCGGTTCTAGTTGTTGTTCTGGACCGCCTTGGTGGCTACGCCCCTTGGTCATCATTGTTGCGTGACAACACCTGCAATCAACCCACCAGCCAACCAAACTAAGCAAAAAACCCACCATGCGCTGCTGTCGGCCTTTGAGAGAGAGAGAGCAGGGAAAATAATCCAAGCAAGCAACCAACCCACCCACCCACTCACCCACCCACCCACCTACCCAACCAACCAACCAACCAACCGACCGACCGACCGACCGACCGACCGACCGACCGACCGACCGACCGACCGACCGACCAACCAACCAACCAACGCAACCAACCAATGCAACCAACCAATGCAACCAACCAATGCAACCAACCAATGCAACCAACCAATGCAACCAACCAATGCAACCAACCAATGCAACCAACCAACCAACCAATGCAACCGAGCCACGACCTCATTGCCTCAGGTGGAGGAGGTGCTGCACGGCGTTGAGGAGCTCAGTGACTTGGAGACGCCCCTGGACGACACCTGCGCGGCCCGGCCAGGTGAGTTGCCCCTGTTTGTTCAGGGACCCTTGCAGCTCTATCAGTTAGAGAGCCTGTGGAATTGCTTGGGGAAGGCTGGCGAACTTTGCGCGGCAGGGGCTTGCTTGAGAGACCTGTGCGAAACGTTCCCTGGCTTCATGATTTTAAGCTAGGGGATCCTTTTGGTGGCAAACAAGGAACCTGAACTTGTTGTGAGCAATCCACTCAAGTGGGTGGGGAAATGGGCAGCGGTCCAAGCCTCGAACCCCAACTTGAACCGGTTGATTGGTTGATCAACGGCTCGTGGATGCAGGAGGAGTGCCCATGGAGTGCCCATGTGTGGCAAAAAGCCTTCATACTAGTTTTTGTTTAACGAATTGTTTTTGTTTTTGTGTTTTGTTTTTTTGGTGGGGGGGGCAGAAGGCCTCTCCTAAGAATCAACAAGAGTTCTGGTTTATCGGCGAGGCTTTGCTGAATTGAGCAGCTCATTCCCTGGGGTGCTGGAGAGGGGGTTGCGCAAATGGTTTGGAGGAGTTTCCAAGGTGGCGCGCTGGCCTCATTTTGTGTACGGATGGCGTTCCACACCATTTCTGCTGGTGGATATGGATTTGACATTGGTTGAGATTTATCCAGGCGTCAAGCAGATACAACAGCAAGTTGTTGGCTGTTCTTGGTGGCGATTGTGCCACCGCTTAGGCATATGTGGCATGTTGAGTTCAGGGCAGGCACTGCTAATTCTCTTTTGCTGGAGCATCAGCAGTCGGCTGCAAGTTTGGGAGACTGCGAACGCGCCGTGCCGGGTTTGGGTTGTGTCGCGTGGTTGTGAAGAGCAGGGCAGTTGTCATTGACAATCATTAGGTCCACGAGGTAATAATCATGTCGTGCATGCAGTGCTTTGGCTGTATATAGCGACTCTCAGGCAACAATGGTGCTCAAGGAGGAATGCATCTCCTTCAAGTTTGCTGAGCAGGCGAAGGCTGAGCTATTCACATTGTGCATGAATTTGTTTGTAGAAGGGCTCAAGAAGAAGTCAAAGTGAAGGACCGCTGACGCTGTCAATGCCAGCCGATCTCGGCCCTCGTTCTGGGGGCAGCTCCAAATGGAGATAGCTCCGCCCGTTGGATGTCCGGGGTCTTTGACCTGTGCGCAGCAAAATCGGGGACGGTGCCTGGTTGGAAGAGCAAAGCCGAAGATCTTTCAGTCACTAATTCACTCACTCCCTCCCTCGCTCATTAATTCAGTCAGTCAGTCACTCACTCACTTCCTCCCTCGCTCATTCGGTGAGTCATTCACTCACTCCCTAGTCAATTATTATGGAGACAGAAACTTCAGCCCAGCCCGTAGGCGGGCTCTTGCGGCTGGTGACCCTTGCCTGGCTCATGGGCAAGGTGAGCACAGTTAAGTGCTTGGGGGCTAGCCATGAGTGGGACGGTTGCAACCTTCACAGGCCTGACAGTTTGGCGTCCAGGGCTTGGCTGCAGTTTTTCATGTGGCTCAGATCGCAAGCCGCGGGCGTCAATTCTGCAAAACGAGAACCTACAGCTGACAGAACGCACTGCGGCGCTTACTTGTGAAGCAATCAACAGCATGTCCGGAAAGGATAAGTACATATTTGAAGGTGGCGGAGCCTCTTGTTCTGGCTGGCTTACACGACGTTTCCATCCACATCAGAAGGTCACACCTCTTCTGTTTGACCTGGCTGGATAAAGCCGATTGGAGATCCTGCTTCGCATGTGCAGAGTTGGTCACTTAATTGCGAGAAGCAGTGTCAAATCTGTTGCATAAGTAGTCCCATACACCGTACCCTCGTTGGTTGCACTGGGAAAAGGCTACGGGAGAGGCTCAGCCACGGAGGGGCGGTTGTTGCAATATGCGTTTCCCTCTCCTTTGACTTCCCTCCCTCACTTAGTCAGTCAGTCAGTCAGTCAGTCAGTCAGTCAGTCTTTCAGTTGGTCAAGTCGTTCAGCACTGACTGACTGACTGACTGGCTGGCTGGCTGGCTCACTCACTCACTCACACTCACTCACTCACTCACTCACTCAGTCACTCACTCACTCACTCACTCACTCACTCACTCACTCACTCACTCACTCACTCACTCACTCACTCACTCACTCAGGGCCCACATGTACGACTTGAGAGCCAGTTCTGACAAGCTTTGAGACATGCGCGAATGCACAGACAAACTTGCCCAGGAAGTATGGAGTCCACCTCCTTTGTGAACCCGAAGCTGGTGCCGCAGATGGCGCCTCGCACCGCAGGTGAGGAAGATCGCTGCACTCAGTCAGGCCTCGGTACCCCCAGGTCATGCAGTGGATGGACACAATGCTTCCACGCGTTCTTCCGAAGGTTCTACTGTCGATGATGTAAGGCGCCACCTAGTGTTTGGGTGCCAATTGGTTTGCCGGCTCAGGGGGGAATGTGGCATAGGTGCTGGAGTTTCAGGTTGGGTGTCGGACTAGGCGCCGGTTTCCGAAGACCCGAGGCTGACGCCGCAGATGTGCTACAGGCCTGCTGGGGCCTGAGGATTGGAGGTGGGTGTATTTCCGGAGCGAGGTGGGGAAACAAAACCTTGGCCTTGGAGCAGTTGGGATCTTCTCTGCACGACGCTGGTAGATTTGCATCGAGTCAATCGAGTCTTGGCATTGTTTGTGTTTCTAAGATGGGGAGAGGCTTCCAAGATCTATGTGTGATTGTGGGTCAGCAGTGGTCGGGCTCTAAGATCATCTATTGGCCAACTCCCGGCGGTGTTGGATTGGTGCTAAGCTTCTATGCCTCACTTGTGAATGCAACATGTTTGAGAGGGTTGTGGTTGCAATTGCCAAGGGCCAAGAGTATCAAAAGAATGTTGTGCCTTAGTTGGTTTGCCAAGTGGTGACCTGCACGACACCAAAACGGCCGTTGCTGGGGTCAAACAAATTCGCGGTTTCAGGCTCTCAAAGTCAGAGCTCTCTTTCCTGTAGCCTGGAGGGTTTCGCGAAATGATTTTTTCTCGAACTCTCTCTCCGAGCAGGGGCTCGGGGCTGCCACGAGCGTCCGACCCTTAGGCTTGGCCCAGCATCCGTTGGTGGCCTTCCCAGTGCTGGTGCCAAATGCGCGAGGCCTTGAGGCCGAATGGCCCGCACCATGAGGATGGGCGTTGCCACCTGTGAGGAAAATGGGCGACACCATGAGGGGGCTGTTCATTGTTCAAAAAAGGCGGCAAAAAGACACCCTGTTTGCAGGTTAGTCGAGTTGTTTGAAGCTTTTCCCATTGTTCAGTATTTCCGTGTATCAACTCGCTTCACCTGCTCACAGCCCTCGAACCACACCTACACACTGTATGGAATTCAACTCTTGCTAAACAACCACCGGCCCCTCGTAGCAGTGAGCCTCAGCAGGCTGCCCTGGCTGCTGGCGCCAAGGAGGCGTACGGATGGGCGGAGTCCACTGGCAGATGGCCAGTTGTTTTTTGTGGATGGACAACATCTATCTCGCACCGCGCAATGAAGCCATGGTTGAAGCCATTGTTTTGTGGATACTTACAGGGGATCATCAGACACCAGGGTTTAGGTGGTGCAGGATTTCGTCCATCCACAGAATGTCTGCCAGTTGTCCGAATATCAAGCGTGCATGCTTCTTTTGCGTGTTTAAGTTTAGGTGGTTGCAGGCCAAAGGCGTGCGGCAAGGATACAAAGCAGGAAATTCTCACACATGGTTTGCAAGGGTCAACCTGTGGAAAGGTGATCCACCTCTGCCGGATGGCGAGCACGCACGGGAGGCTACCCTACTGACAGCTGCGAGCGACACTTTTGCGCAGAAGAACACGTTGCCCGGCAGAATGGGAACAGACAACGCATGGCATTTCTTCCGAGTTGTTGCTTCGGGGGCTGGTCAAAATCAGGTCGCCCCTGCCTACCAGATTGGTTCTCACCCTAACCCCTGCTTTTTGGCTGAGTGTCTTTGGTTCCCGATCTCAGTCAGCCAAGATGCTCAGCCCAGGAACTGCACGGTGGAGGAGAATCTGCAGCGTGCCGCCGCCCCTCTGGCCACACATCTTTGTCACCGGGCTATACCATAGTGCCAGTCAAAGCTAGATTGCATGTGCATGTTTCATTTGACCTTGTTTTGAACTGATTGGATTAGGGCATGTTTCATGTGATCCGATGTGCTTTTGCTGAAGAACGATTATTGCATGCTTGGCATTGTTTTCGAAAAGGTTGCTAAATTTGCGGTGGGAATGCCCAAGCCAAAAGGCAAGCCCTTGATGGCTTGCCTTCCCTGTTCCCCATCCTCCTTTGCTATAGTAGTTGGTCTGTATGATTTGATATGAGCAGCACTGTTGTTTTTGTCTGCCATTTGCAGGATGGCATAGGGCATACTCTCCGAATGAGGAAATGAGGGGGAGGGGGTTACTCACCAACTTCGAATGTCGTAGCATAGAGGGGCATGAAAATTGGCTGGCAGGGGAGCAGTCCCAAGCAATGCCTTCGGATTCCTATGCCCCTCCAGGTGGCTTCGCTTTGAGTGGGAGATCCAATTCGAGACCTTTGTTTGGTTGGTAGTGCGGTCATTCTGATGGTTTTGACAGCTCTGTTTTTTGTTTGTTTGCTCCAAGGGTGGCAGCCCATCTCACTTTCTCAGTTGTCGGACACGTTTCTTTACATGCCTGGAAATGAGGTCAACCTTAGCAGGCCAAACCCTCACAAGTGACGTTCTTCACTCGCCAGGCAGTTCTGCAGAGGGCCAAAGCCGCCCACTGCAGCGTACGGGGCGCCATCTCCGTCTGCCGGCCTGCCTGGATGAGCATGAGTCCGCAATTTTTTTGGGGAGCTGGGGCTAAAACGAGCGAAAGCCATGATGAAGCTCCTTCGGAGATCCCTTGTTTCAAGTTCGGAAGTGTTGCAAAGCTTGCGGATGAATGGACGCGTTGTAAAATGAGGGATCTTTGGGTGGAAGCATAAAGCATTCTTTCTGAAAGGGATGGTTTCTGGGGGTTGCACCGCCGCTTCCTCCCATCATCTAGTAAGCTACTTGGTGCATGGTGGATGGCCTCATGTATTTTGATTTTGAACTCCAGTCCATTGTCAGAACTGTCAGGGGACTTCGGTGTTTGCAGAATTCCGTTCTTTTGGCGTGCTTGGACAGTATCTTGTGATTCGACGTGGTGCCACAGCCCCAAAGCGCGACGCTTGTATTCACATGCTCAGTGGGTCAGCGCTGCCCTAGCAGACGTGATATGTTGAAACCAGTGGACCAGGACCGTTTCCAGATCCTGATGAGTGCAAAGTTGTTCCTCAAGTGCCAATCAACATCGATAGCTTTGTTGAGTTCGCATTTTGCCTACAAGGCTGAATGCGGCAACCGGTCAGGACTTCAGTTGGGCTATAGGCATGCACTCTCTGACTCATTGCCGAGAGAGGCAGCACACGCAGCATCAAACGACGTTTGAAACGGAAGCGAAAAGCGAAGCCGAAGATGCAAAACAGAAAACCACTGGCAATTTTCAACCTAAATCAATCGGTGCCCAGGTTGTCTAAACGCGTGGCGTGGCCTTGTGTCACATGGGGAAAACCCGAGGCCTGGGCTGCCCTTACGAGGGTGAGGTGCCAGCGCGACGCGTAGCACAGGCTGGGGTCCAAAAGGGCCTTGGTTTCCAAGAGAACCCAGAGGAAACCAACTAGTTTTTGCGCTATGGGGGGCGGGCGTAAGAGGCTTGATGGCTTGGGTTGGCTGGTGGGTTGGTGGGTTGGTGGGGTCGGGGTGTTGGTGGGTTGGTGGGTTGGTGGGTTGGTGGGTTGGTGGGTGGGTGGGTGGGTGGGTGGGTGGGTTGGTTGGTTGGTTTGCATGCTTTCTTGCTTGCGATAGCTTGCTGCCTTGTTTGCTGGCTTTCCAGGGCGATGGGGAACTTGCGAAGCAAGCAAGCAAGCAAGCTTGCAGGCGAGCGGGCAGGCAAGCGAGCAAGCAGGCAAGCAGGCAGGCAGGCTAGCTAGCAAGCAGGCAAGCAAGCTAGCAAGCTAGCATGGTTGGGTTATTGCTGCATGCCAGGTGGCAAGCCGCTTGCTGGAGGCAGCCACAGCTTCGGGGGGGCTGATTTGGGTTTTTGGAACTTTCGGCCGCCCTCCACTTGCCTTTGGCCCGGCAGGATGGGTGCCAGGAGGTGCTCATCTGTGACACCATCGGCACTGGCACGGCTGGCTCTGTCCAGCGTGTTTTGGAAGAGCTGCGAGGCACACAGAGCTGCAGCCCATTCCACCCATCGGCCCCCGCTGAACTGTCCGCCCTGGCACCTGGATTTGGTCCTGCACCCTCCGCGCTATAGGCAGTATACTGACTGCATGTACGCTGGAAGGATCGGCCCATGCAGCGGGCTCACTGGTTTGATGTTGCACTGCCATGACATCTTTTAGAGAGCCTTCCAACAATCAGTGGGGGGCGAGTTTTTCAAAGGCTCTAGTCATTGCAGGAGTGATTCACTGCAGCCGCTTGCTAGCGACAGGCGCTGATATTCCAATGGACCGGGTTGGCGTGCACTTTCACGACACGTACGGGCAGGCCCGAGTGAGCAGCGTTGTCAGTCAGATTACCAATCCTTTTTCCCATAGTTGAAGTGGAACGAGTCGAAAGACTGCCATCCTCGTAGAAAGGCCCCTTGTCCACTTAAGCTTGGGCAGAGGGCATTGCGGTGCCTCATTCCTTGCGTGCAGCCAGCTCTCAGTGCAAATTTTCGGCGAGCTTCGAGCCATGCCGTGTCTCGTGGACTTCTACGACTGCCTGCGCGCCTGGGCCAACCCAAAGTCCATTGGCTACCCTCCATGGAAGAAGGGCAAGCTGGACTGCCACGAGCGCTTTGGAGAGAAGCTGAGAAAACGTAAGAAGTGGGCGGGGCTGTTCTAAAAGTGGGATGTAACCCAACATAACCCAACTTGTAAAACCGCTTCAATGCAATTGCCCATGGTCCTTATTATGGGGGCTGCGAAAAAGCCCCAACCTGTCATTGCGTCGGCCTTTGGGGCGCCGAATGGCCAGGGTAAACACGGCAAGTGAGGTACTACTATGAGGAATTCCTCACGAAGCCCATGTTTGTGCAGCAAAAGGGTGGGCACTGAGACGCAGATGAGACCCGGGGAATTTTCCATCTCCGCGCATTGCGGTTGCGCAGTGCAGGGAGACGCGAGTGCAAAAAGGTGCAGTGTCGGAGGCACGAGTGAATCATGAGTAACTCTTCAAAGAAAGGCGCCAAAGCTACCATGCCAGAGGTGAACATGCCACGATGGCCGCATATCGCATTGAATTCCATGAGTTTTGGCACCCAATGTCTTTGATTGCTTTCCATTGCGAGAGCCCGAGAGGCAGTGGCAAACACCTTGGTGGCCGGACGCTTGGTTTCTTCAAGCCCTATCCGAGAAGCCGAGAGATCTGAAGCCGGGCGAACGGGCGAGCACGGATGCATTTTTCGCGCCCGTTTCTTTGGTTGCGGCTTGCAGTTGAAGCTTTCTTGCAAATGCGAATTTTCGAGTCTCGAGTGGCGGTTTTCCTGAGAGCGAGTAGGCCAGACATGACGTTCGAGGCCTTGCAGTTTGGTGTGACCAAAGTGGATGCTGCTGTGGGCGGCGTGGGCGGCTGCCCCTTTGCCGGGCCAGGCCGGGTTTAAGTGGCGCAACATCAGGTTCATGACCTGACGCAGAGGAAAGGTCCTAGTTGCTTTTGCGGTTGCCATGTTGAAGCATGAGGGGCTCACCCAGAAGGGAGGACCTGTTGAACCCGAGACTCCATTTGTTTTGCCGACTCTGTTAACACCTTGAGAAGACGAACTCTTGCCTCTCTGATCCTTGCCTGTCTGGGGCGTTTGCTTGCTCCGGCGCGCAACTCTTGGCTCTTGAGCACGCCCATTGCCAACCTCAGGCGGTTGAAAACTCGTATTTCGAACTTGTTGCAGGGCGTCACAGGCCAACCCAGTGCTTGATTGGGCACTAAAAGCCACTAGGAGGGTCACAACCCACCCAAACTGACGCTGGGTTTCATTGTCTCCATTTAGGCCCATTCAAATTGGTAGGTACTTTGTTACAGTGGAGACGTCCTCATTGCCACTCATTGGCTCACTGTTTGTCTGGCTACGCAACCCCTACTGCGGAGGCTTACTTCTGAACCCCCCCCTCCCCCATCCCTGGGTCAACATTTGGTGACATTTTTCATCTTTGCAATTGACGAAACTGATGAACCAAAAAGCAAACTCAATCCTAGGCGTGCGGTTGCACGCGAAGTTACCCTCGCCTAGTTCGGGCTGTACGCCCACGACGGCTCCCCCAAACAGGTAGCCCCGGTAACCCCCGATTCCTCGACCCAAACTGAGGTTAGGTTGGGGCTAGAACCCCGACCTTGACCCAAACTGAGTTAGCACCCCTTTACGACCCCACGGGCCCCTCGGTTTGATTTGGGGCCGACGGTTTCGGCTCTCCCGGCGCCGGGAAGGTGCCAGCGGCAACGTGGCCACCGAAGACTTGCTGCAACTCCTGGAGGGTCTTGGCGCCGATGCCTCAAACTCCTTCGGCTTCAGAAGGCATAGGTGTGTCTCTTGAGCCCCGCCTTGGCTGGGTTTAAGGGGAAATTAAAAACAAACCAACCTTCAGGGGTCCGCTAGTTTTGGGACGCCTTACATGGGGGTTGTCTCCAACGTGGGTTTGTAAGTGAACCTGACATGCTGCTGGTGAGCCGGTTGGCAAGTATCTGGGTCTTCGTATTTTTTGAGGCTCAGTGCCCTTTTTGGGCCTTGAATTGGGTGGTATTCCCTTAGTTTCCCTCGCAATCAACCACGAGGGAACCCGCAAGAAGCATCAAGAATCAAAAACAACACGCCCTTTTTGGATGCGAGTTTTCCCGGGGCGACCTGTAAGAGCAGCGAGTTTCGGCTGGTTTGCCACTGAGGTGGGTATTCTGTCGATCCTTTTGGGGTTGCTCTTAGGGAAACTCATTTGGGTCCCCTGTTTGAACAGCCCAGGTGCACACGGGCTTAGACATGACCAAGCTGGCCGAGACGGGGCAGTGGCTCACTGAGCAGGTGCTGGGTAGGCCCAACGGTGCCAAGGTGCGCCTTGCAGTGAGAGGGAAGGCCTCTGACTTTTGGGAATGTGAAAAAAGCCAAAGGGCGGTTTTCCTTTTGGTTCCCCTTCAAGCCGATCTCAAAAAAGGGCAGCCTCAACAAAAGAACCAGACGCTTTGGATGGGAGTGCTTGGCCTTTACGCGCAGCCTGGGCCTTGAGGGGTTTGGCGTCAGGCGGGGCCGGCAAGACTTCGGAAGTCCAAGCCAAGGCGCGCTGCATCACCAAAGGGCAGGGGCTCAGCAGCTTATATGTCATACAAAAAACGTACATAAACAAATCATGTTGAATATACATATGATACCTGGACCTTCCTAAAGCATAGTTTGCGGAGGCTATGTCTTTGCATGCTTCCGTTGCAAAGCTTTTGACCAACTGCCTGCCTGCTCCACTTGTTTTCTAACAAAACCCTTTCAGGTTCACCCCCTGGTACCATTCTGCATCAATGCTTTGTGCCAGCTGCAGTTCAGAGGTTCTATAGCGCAAATCAAGTAAGCAGGGCCTCACACGTTGTCACATGTTGTCACAACAGAGTATTGCATGCCAACATCTCTCCCCCATGCAAGATTTGACGACTTCCCAATTGCCCCTGGAAAGAACCTGTCAAACGCTAGACTTGGGGTGTGCGTTGCTTCTACGACAAAAAAAAACCCTTGTGGCCCGCCCCAGTAGCCACGAGCGAACGATATGTTCAACCAGAAGGGCTACCAGAACAGTCACTCAGATGCGCACAAACTGGTGTAAGTCGATTTGCCAACGGATGCAAGGAGCTCAATATCCACCAACGTTTTGAGATTGCCTACCTGTTGGGCTCTGAGAGCGGCCGGGCAAGGCGGACCTAATTATTTTGCCCCCTTTGATGTGTTCATGCAACATGTTGCAAAGCTTGTCTAACTTTGGAAGACACAAAACAGACGGAAAACGGCGGGAAACGGAAGGAAAAAGACGGGAAACGGACGGAAAACAACGGATTCCAATAATACCTGGTGTCTACGGGTCTTGTGGTCGTGGGAACCTAGATTGTGCAAAGCTATGATTCACGCGCTGTGTTCATTGTCAAGATTTCTTGTCTGCCTTGTCGCGTGCGGAATCTTTGAGAACTCAAGCCATGGGTGAAGCTCCTTAGCTTAAAGTCCCCGCAACTGTTTCCTGCTTCCCTTACAAGCTGTAGACTCAAATACGCAAAGCTACGTGCATCCGACAAGAGTTTTGGGAAAGCATGTGTTGAATTCTTATGGGCTTGTGAAATACAAGCATCGAGCGTGGTCTACAGAGACTATTAGGACCCGGCGGGCCGTTTGTAAATAAGAGCTTTGTTGCAGGCTAACAAGACCTCAGCAGCTCCTTGATGGATTGTTCTTGCGCACTTGTCATATATAGCTGCGAGGCAAATGAGGATGCTGTTGGCAAAGCCGCAAGGCTTCCCGCAAACGGTTTTGACACGCAAGGGCCCTTGTGCAAGCGTAAGTTTCTATATGGAGGCAGTTAAAAATGAGCCAGATCATGCCAGATCTCAATGTTTCGGCCAAAGCATGTTGAAGCGGGGCGACGCAAAAGGGGACTGTTCCCTGTGTGGGATTGCAAAGGAAGGACGACCTAAGAAATGGACCGTTTTTTTGCTGCCACGTACGCTTTTCCGAAACGGACGGATTTAGGCGGACTGTCCCAAAAAGTGCCCACGGTGGGCCCAGGTATGCATGCATATTGTAAGCGCCTCGGCCACTTTCAGCCGGATTCTTTTGGTTGGCTTTGAAGTGTGAGTTTGCTAGAGGTTTAAAGTGTGCAATTCTAATTTAGTTTTCGGGCCCCCGGGGTTTGAACCTTTCTTGTTTGGAGAAGGGATGAACCAGAACGACGCAAGCTAGATAAAATGATGCCGGTGGAAGCGCGAAGTGGGTGAGTACTTCAAACTCAAGCGGCGGCGGCCGGCCGTTTGAAGGGGGCCGGCCACCGCGCGTGCGCAGTCTGGGCGGAAAGGATTGAGGGGCATGAAGGCGTGGCCAGCCGTGTGGAGTGGAAGCCACAGCCTCCCGCTTTCGCTGCCCCAGCTTCGCCCTCGGCAGTTCACTTGGCCCCCTTGCCCAAGCTAGCCCCAACAGGGCTAGAGGGCCAGAACAGTCAGCCCGCAAGGGCATGGCAGTCTGCGGTCTTGACACCTGGCTTAGCGTTCTTACTAGGAAAGGGACTTGGAAGGCTCCTACCGAGAGAAGCGCAAGAGCGGCAGACAGCCCTGGCGCTGCAGGGAAGGCAGCCATGGGTGCAATCCGAGACGTGGATGGTCACGCTGGCAGACGCAGCCACGCTTCACAGGGTGTTACGGCCCTGTAAAATTGGAGGGGTGGAAAATCATTGAGGGGGGAGGGCCAACTTGACACCGTAATTTTGAGAAATGATCTGCAAATGTCCCTTAGCTTGTGAGACTTGCGCGGCCAAGTGGAGGCCTGTGCCAACGCCAACATCACGACCGCTGGCGGGGCTCAAAGTGTTGGAGGCGGGGCTCAAAGTCCTGGAGGGGGCGGGGTCTAAAGATTAGGTTTAAGGATTGGAAATTTGGCAGACCTGTGGTGGTTTGGATTGGTTTGGATTGGTTTGGGTTGGTTTGGGTTGGTTTGCATTGGTTTGGGTTGGCTTGGTTTGGATTGGTTTGGGTTGGTTCGGATTGGTTTGGGTTGGTTTGGATTGGTTTGGATTGGCTTGGATTCGTTTGCATTGGTTTAAATTGTTTTGGAATGGTTTAAAATGGTTCGGATTGGTTTGGATTGGTTTGGATTGGTTTGGATTGGTTTGGGTTGGTTTGGATTGGTTTGGGTTGGTTTGGGTTGGTTTGGATTGGATTGGTTTGGATTGGTCCGGCTTGGTTTGGATTGGTTTGGATTGGTTTGCAATGGTTTGGCTTGGTTCGCATTGGTTTGGATTGGTTTGGATTGGTTTGGCTTGGTTTGGATTGGTTTGGATTGGTTTGGCTTGGTTTGGATTGGTTTGGATTGGTTTGCATTGGTTTGGGTTGGCTTGGTTTGGATTGGTTTGGGTTGGTTCGGATTGGTTTGGGTTGGTTTGGGTTGGTTTGGATTGGCTTGGATTCGTTTGCATTGGTTTAAATTGTTTTGGAATGGTTTAAAATGGTTCGGATTGGTTTGGATTGGTTTGGAATAGTTTAAATTGGTTCGGATTGGTTTGGATTGGTCCGGATTGGTTTGGATTGGGTTGGATTGGCTTGCATTGTGTTTGATTGGTCCGGCTTGGTTTGGACTTGTTTGGGTTGGTTCGCATTGGTATGGATTGGTTTGCAGTGGTTCGCATTGGTTTTGCGTTGGTTTGGATTGGTCTGGGTTGGTTCAGATTGGTTTGGATTGGTTTGGAATGGTTTGGCTTGGTTTGGCTTGGTTTGGATTGGTTTGGCTTGGTTTGGATTGGTTTGGGTTGGTTTGGATTGGTTTGGGTTGGTTTGGATTGGTTTGGATTGGTCCGGCTTGGTTTGGATTGGTTTGGATTGGTTTGGATTGGTTTGCAATGGTTTGGATTGGTTCGCATTGGTTTGGATTGGTTTGGATTGGTTTGGCTTGGTTTGGATTGGTTTGGCTTGGTTTGGATTGGTTTGGCTTGGTTTGGATTGGATTGGTTTGGATTGGTCTGGCTTGGTTTGGATTGGTTTGGATTGGTTTGGATTGGTTTGGATTGGTTTGCATTGGTTTGCATTGGTTTGGGTTGGTTCGGATTCGTTTGGATTGGTTTGGCTTGGTTTGGATTGGTTCGCATTGGTTTGGATTGGTTTGCATTGTTTTGATTGGTTTGGATTGGTTTGGATTGGTTTGGATTGGTTTGGATTGGTTTGGAATAGTTCGGATTGGTTTGGGTTGGTTCGGATTGGTTTGGGTTCGTTTGGATTGGTTTGGATTGGTTCGGATTGGTTTGCGTTGGTTTGGATTGGCTTGGGTTGGTTCAGATTGGATTGGTTTGGATTGGTTTGGATTGGTTTGGATTGGTTTGGATTGGTTTGGATTTGTCCGGATTGGTTTGGATTGGTTTGGATTGGTTTGGAACGGTTTGGTTGGGTTCGGATTGGTTTGGATTAGTTTGGGTTGGATTGGGTTGGTTCGCATTGGTTTGGATTGGTTTGGATTGGTTGGTTGGTCCGGATTGGTTTGGATTGGTTTGGAATGGCTTGGATTGGTTTGATTTGCATCCGTGGCTCTTTTAGGGGTCAGATGGAAACCACTTCCTAATTACCACGCTCATTTGGTGTGTATGTGTGTGTGTCCAAAAAGGGCCAACGCTTTTTTGAAAGTTATTCGGGGAAGCTAAAAGGAAACCAAGCACCTGAAAAGAACTGCCCCGTATTTGGAGACACACCCACTTGGAAGGGGTCCCCTTGTAGCGATTCCGCATGAGCGCCAGGGCTTTGGGCGCGTCTGATGGAGCCACAGGCATCAGGAGACTGCGACTTGCACCTTTGAATTTGTCAATCTCAAACGGCCAGCCAGCCACACAACAGCAAACAACAACTAACTAACGACACAAAACCACCTAGCACACGGGAGGATAAAACCGCACACCTGACTCCAGGTGGGTCCTGGACTTGTGGCGGGTGGCTGGACAGGCGCGATGCACCGTCACGCAGAAGCATGCCACGCTTCGCGTCTTAGTTTTAGACCCCAGGACCCCACTTTCAGCTCTCAACATTGAGGTGCTGCATTTGGCAGGAGCCACCTTGGCCTACTTTGGCGCTGAGGTGGTCAAAGCCCGGCGCCTACTTCCACCAGAACTGGCAACTGGGTTCACAAGGCTGTGACCAGAAGCCAACGATCTTTGGTGCTTTGCCCGGGCCTTTGGCTCGGTTTTGCGACAGTGGATCCGACCGCAACTCAAGGCAGAACAGTTCCTAAAAATCGATGTTTGGGAAACAAGACTTGGCATGTCAGAAACAACCTCAACGGCCTTTAGATTTTCATGAGCCGCTGGTATATCTCTACATATTTGTATATATATATATATATGTGTGTGTGTGTGTATCTATATATATATATATCTATATATATATATATGCAGACACTTTTGTGGCATCCACCGTTTTTTCCTTCCAAGACCAATTTTGTTCCACGCCAATCCGCTTGATGCAGCGCGTGGCTACACTTGGCACAGACCCTCTAACCCTGAGCCTTGCGCGCATGGCAATGGCGCGGCGGCCTCTTGGAGGCCGGCGCGGCTTCATTTCACCACACAAGAATGCAACGTGGTTTTGTTGTTGTACATCAGTTACCCACTAATTGGTGGTTTGGAGAAGGGGGAAGCCCCCTCCATAGCCACCAAACCAATCCAAACCACCAATTGGAGGGAAGCTTAGTACATGCCTTATGAACAGATGGATCTGAAAGATGCACATCTAGGGCCGAAGTCCAGTCGTGATAGGTGAAATGATTGGTGAGCGTTGTCCCATTCTAGCAGCTTGACGTTTGAGGATCGTACCAGTTCAGCTGGAGAGAAGCAGTGCAAGAGTGACTTTGCTTTTGCGATTGGTTTGCAATGTTTCGCACAAAGCGGTTAGACCAATGAATCGCAAATTGCCATTTTCAGCGGTCGGCCAGGACTGCTCGTTGGTGCATCTCGGCAGCACTGATCCCGTCACTGGACAGAAAGCTTCCCGCACGTCTCATGTCGGACAGCGTCTCTTAAAATGCATATTAGTTGGGGCCGCTCTGGAGGATCGGCATGTCTTTGGTCATGCCTCTGATTTGCATTCTAGGTTATAGCCAGGGTTATTGGTGGGACACCATTGGTTGGCTCACTAATCATTCTTAGCCATTGCCACATGTACCAAATTTGGTATGAGGGCGAACCTGCCCAATAGTAGACACCTCTTTGGACTACACTCCAGAACAAGGAAGCTCTAGAGAAGGCCTCTGATTGGTCACCAAGTCTTCCAAAGGGGCTTCCATGATCTTCCATGGTCTGGGAGATGTTGGTCTGGGGGAGGGTAGGGTGTGAAATGGCCAGCTCTCAATGCGAGGTTTGTCAAATGGCCCAGGCCCTGGCGGCCGGCTGGTGCTTCAGCCAGGGCCGCGAGGCCCGCGAGGCCCGCGAGGGCCGCGAGAAGTCGGCCAAAGCGGGAGCCAAGGTAGCCTCGCTCCCAGTAACATGGAACCTGACCTGGGGGGGGGTCCCGGTTTGGACCGTTTTCCTTTTAAAGGGACCAGGGTATGTGGAGTGTTTTCCTTAGGTATGTCTCAAGTGGTTGAAGGAACACATGATTGTTATGCTGCAATTGAAACTGTACGGATTGGACATGCCCGTGCATTTATTCAGGACACCGAGGTCACGGGTCGTGTTGGAAGGGCTTGAGGGCAAGGCTTGATCACTTGATGTGATGTGGGCGTGTGTGCTTGTTGAGGGCACCAGCCATGAGGTTGGTTTAAAGGGGGACCACATGGAAAGCCACCATTCCCTCCCTGTTTTGACACAGGCACATACCGATATGTTGTGTGTCCCGCCTTGCTGCGCTCAGACTGTGACAGCGACGGGAATTGAGCCTCTTTGTCAGGAGCGCGTTCTTCGTTTGCAAGCTTGAATGCAGACCTCTGCAGGCATACTTGATTCACTCAAGGCAGACAGAATAAATTGCATCATAAGTGAGGCTTGAAAACACAATAACTCCAGGGCCAGCACCAAGCGCGCAAGTTTGCGAAGTTACTTTGACAAAGCAAGGTGTTTTGGACCAAAGGGGGATGAACCAAATACCACCAGGTCACCAGAAGCCGCTTGAAGGCTCATGGAAGGTGCCTTGGAGGTAAGCCTCCGGGGCCTCACTGGGCAAGAGCTTCGTCTCAGTGTGGCAGAGGACATCTTGGGCAGCGAGCTTCTGCAGCTCGTTCGGTCCAGGTTGCCTCCGAAGCCGGGCGCGGTGCTGCGTTTGAACTTCGGCGAGCTCGAGCTGGTGCCAGAAAGGAGCCTAAGAGACCAGGCGACTGGGAGTGGCAATAGTTGTCCATTGGCCGAAAAAAACAACACCAAACGGGATTGGGATATGTTGTTTAATTGGATTTCTGCCCGACACCCTATAGTCACCCAGGGCTTGCGTGGAGCCGCGGCCGGAGTTTTCACCTACTCGCGTACTTGCCTTCTCCGGGCGTGGTATGCAGTGCTGGGTCTCCAGAAATTTGACACGCGAGAACGAGCAATGGAAGGAGTCACTCAGATGTCGTGGGGAAGAAACTCCTTTGGTGACACTCCAGCGCTTCCTGCAGGCCTGCCAGTCACATTGACAAACCTTGTGTTCAGCAAAGACTTTGTCCAGTCCTTGGAGGGGGTGACCTTGCCTGACAGCTTGCAGAGCCTGACCTTTGGGGAAAAGTTTAACTGCAGTCTGCTGGGGCTAGTTTTGCCAAACGGCCTCCAAAGCCTGACTGTCGGCCAAAGGTTCAATCGCAGATGTCAGGGAATGCATTTGCCGCGCTGCTTGCAAAACCTCACGTTTGGCGAGCAATTCAATCACAGCCTGGAGGGGGTAATTCTACCAGACAGCCTGCGGAGTCTGACCTTTGGCCGGGACTTCAACCAACCTTTGCGTGATGTGACCCTGCCAGAGGGTCTGCAGAGCCTGACTTTCGGCCATGATTTTGACCAAAGTTTGCAGGACGTGGCTTTGCCAGGAAGTTTGCGAAGCCTGACGCTTGGCAATAGGTTCAACGGAAGCCTGCAAGGAGTGAGTCTCGGGGGCTTGCAGAGCCTCACCGTAGGCGCGCTGTTCAACCACAGCTTGCAGGGCATGAAGTTTCCGAGCTTGCAGAGCCTGACTTTGGGCGAACAGTTCAACCAAAGCTTAGAGGGCGTGTGCTTTCCAGACAGCTTGCGGCACCTCACTTTCGGTTACTTTTTCAACGAGAGCTTGAAGGAAGTGGCTCTGCCATCAGCCTTGCAGAGCCTAGCTTTCGGAAGGGAGTACAACCAAAGCTTTGACGGAGTGGCTTTGCCACGCGGCTTGCGGAGCCTGACTTTTGGAAGAGCATTCAGCCAAAGCTTGCAGCTGCCTTTGCCATCTGGCTTGCAGAGCCTCATCTTTGGCGAAGGTTTCTTACAAAGTCTGATGGGAGTAACATTGCCTGGAAGCTTGCAAAGCTTGACCTTGGGCTTTGGGTTCAACCATAGCTTGCAGGGAGCGAATCTGCCCCCTACGTTGCAGAGCCTAACGTTTGGTGCGCTATTCAACCAAGGCTTGCAAGGGATAGATTTGCCAGGCAAGTTGCAGAGCCTCACTTTTGGCACAAACTTCAACAAGAGCTTGCACGGAGTGACTTTTCCGGAGAGCTTGCAGGGCATAACTTTCGGTCAAGCATTCAACCATGATTTGCAGGAAGTGGCGCTGCCAAAAAGGCTGCAGAATCTTACCTTTGGCGGTGACTTCAATCAACCTTTGCAGAAGGTAAATCTTCCTGGCAGCTTGCAAAGCCTAACTTTTGGCAACAGATATGACCAAAGCGTAGCTGGAGTGACTTGGCCGGCCAGCTTGCAAAGCTTAACTTTCGGTGTTCGCTTCAACCAAAGCTTACAAGGAGTATCTTTGCCAGGCAAGTTGCGGAGCCTCACATTTGGATTTCATTTCGATCAGGGCTTGGAGGGCTTGACTTTGCCAAGCAGCTTGGAGACCCTGCGTTTCGGCGACAAGTTCAACCAGTGCCTGCAAAGCGTCAGCCTGCCTGGCAGCTTGCAACATCTTTATTTCGGCCAGTTCTTCAACAAGAGCTTGGACTGTGTTGCTTTTCCCGCCGGTTTGCGAAGCCTGTATTTGGGTGCCGGCTTCCGTCAATTCCGCACGGTGACTTTGCCAGACAGCGTGACGACCTATTCAGCTGCAGATGCTACACTCAGCTATGCCTAGGGCACGCTGGGATGCTGCCACATGCCTGCGTTTAAGGTATGGAGTCATTTGTTGGCGCACGTGCGAGCAAAGATGAGCTCAATGTAAATGTAGACAACAACATAGCGGGTGCTCGCAGTTGTGATTTTGGTCCCCAAAACTGTGGACCAAGGCTAGCAGCTTCTGTATTGAGTAGAAAACTACGGGAAACCTGTATGCTACAAGGCTAGCTGGCTGGCGCACTCTCCATATCTCTCAAGACTTTTAGGGAACAGAGCATGGCTCTGCAACACAAAACTGGCCAAGCCTGTTTTCAATCACGCAAGTGATCGAACTTCCATTTTCATTTTTTTCTACCACACGTCGTCCCACAAGTGTCTACAACTGGCTAGCTTCAGTTTTGGACAGTATGGCTTGGCGAAGGTCTGAGTACTCGCCTCCGAAGCAGAAAGCGTATGTTGAAGAGCAGTAAATGCAAGAGGTGCTCAGCTGCAACAGCTGGCACTAGTATTTCCAAGATGCCCTTGTCAACCTCTATTCCGCGGATGCACTGTTTGTAGGTCATGTGCTTTGATGCATTGGCAGGGTCCTTGCCGGCTGGGATGTTTGAAAAGGCGCACGGTACTACGACTTTAGTATTTGGAAGGTCCTTTTTCGACAACACATGCCCTGCGCAAACGAGCAACAAAAAGGCGCCACCCCGTAAAATATTCGGCCCACTGGGTTTGGGCTCATCATTTTTTCCGTGGTGGTTCAAAAGGAGAACAAAAACGACAACGAGCGCGCGCGCACGGTAGATTTGCAGGGAAGAAGCCACGCAGCCACGGGGAAAAAAAAAAAAAAAAAAAACGATGACAACTTAAGTAAACGGCTTGAAGACCACAGCCCTTTCGCCCGGCACTGTGCATAGAAGCAAAACAGCCTGAGCCTGGTATAGCCTGGTGCAGTCGAACACGGTTAGCTGAACCTAGCGGAGTCGATTGCGGTTAGCTGACAACACTGCCAAACAACAAGGAGTAAAAAGCAGATAATCCCAAAAGGAGTCCAGCACTTTATCACCCCCTTTTTATGCATGCAATTTCAGCTGGTGGTTGACTGTCAGAGCTTCAATCTGCATTGTCGGAAAGTCCAAAAAATCAACATGGCACACGGATAGTACAGACCGACCCAACCAAAAGCATGGGAGGCCATCAGCAAATAGAACAGCGCTTGAGAAATGGATAGGTGCATTGAGCCAGACAGCACCTTGAGTTCCCGGCACCCAAAATGATCGGCTTCATTTTGTTTCCCCTTTCATTTAAATCAACCCCGAAAAGGGTACCGAGTCTCAAACCGCCACACACACACAGCGGACGTTGATAGCTGGCTTGGAGCGATTGGATGGCTCTGAGCCGGTTGCCTCCCAGCCGCCCCGAGCCGCCACTTTACGTCAAGCTGCAGCTTCAGGTAAAGAGACTATTTTGCTCGTGGCTCGATTGAACCGTTTGTTTGTGGCCTGCAAAAATGCTTTTGTTTTCGTATTTTCAGTATGTAGCGATTGTAAACGGAAAGCAGCCGTGACCTTGGATGCAGCTCACTCTCCGAGCCAGGCGCGGCCATCGAGTCGCCGCGCCGCGATCGCCGGCGCCGTCGCCGGCGTTCCTTGCGCCGCTGGGGCGGACGGCGGCGACGGCTTGGATGGGGCGGCAGGAGCGCCGGACACTGTTTATGTACCGGCGGCCTGGGCACGTGGGAAGTTCAGATGCAACCAAGAGGGCTCAGACAAAACCCTTGGGCTTTTTTCTTTTTTTTTTGGTGGGGGGGGGGCTCAACAGGCCATAGCATACCATATCTGGCTTTTTGGGTCCAGCTCAGTGAAATCTGCACCTGAAAGTCGCCTTTTAGTTCGGTGGGCTCGGGCCTATTCTTTTCCAACTGAACGACGCCAGTCTCGCTTTGATTCGGTGAAATGCGTGAGGTTTTGGGATGGGAGGGCAGTTAGATCTCGGGATGGATTTGGTGAACGTTCAGCCTCACTAAAGCCAAGCTCCAAGAAGGATGCCAGATGGCTCGAAAACGTCAGTCGATCTTTTCTGCGCACTAGCTGAATGTTTTGTTGCGCCAAGGTTTGTCATGTTCATTGAACACCTTGTATGAAGCCCATATTTGGGTTTAGTTGAGTCGGGTTTCAACAACAAAGACACGCACAGGGAGTTTCTCAAAATGGTGGCCCCCGCTTGGTTGGTAACTCCAAAGCCACCAAAAGGAAACCAACCACTTCAGGGGACCGCTAGATCCAGACGCCTCCATATCTGGATTTCAATGGGGGACACCCTCCAAAATGGACATTAGAACATAGCAGAACACAGAATATGCAAATGATCGCCATCACACATGTCCCTAATGAACAAGGGTTCCTATGAATCCTTCGCCCGAGTCGTTTCTTTCGCCCAGACATTCCAGGGCTCCGTGCTGTGAGTGCCGCATGTGTGGCACTGGCGGGCTTGGGCCTGGCACTCCAAGGTGGGGCGAAAGCTGACGGAGCAACGGCTCCCCCCGAGAACGGCCGGATGGCATCTCTTAGGGCAATGGTCTAGGGGTTGATTCCCCATTCTTTTCAACCATCGTTCTCTTCAAAAACCAGCCGTTTTCCCTGGGATTCTGGAGGTTTTCTCCTGGAAAGAATGCGGAAGGGACCTCCAGACATTTAGTGGGCTCCATCGAAGCTGCCACTTTGTGAGGTTCCAAAGCGGGGCAAGGGGGGCATTTTTTTGCAAATGATGAGCATTTCGGAAATGTTGGACCTTGTTTAATGTGGCTCCCCACCCCTCCCGACAGCAGTCAAAGCAGTGCTCCGGGGTGAATACGGGTCTGGCAGGGAGCTTGGACGACTTAAGTATTTCTTTAGTTCTGCCAATGCTTAATTAGTTTGTATTGCCAGCACTTCCAGGTGAATTGCTGGAACTTAGTTTAGTATTGCCTTGTCTAAATTTAGTATTGCAAGGACTTGCTCTCAGATATCTAGAGCTTAGACAAGTATTGCCCAGTTAAAATAAATATAGCCAGGACTTACTGACGGTCATTTGAAGCAGAATCACTGGCTCCCGCGGGCACCCCCCTTTGGGCTTGGTTTTTTTTTACCAAAAAGTGTTCTTTAATTTGATGGTTCAGGAACCACTTGCAAAATTGATTTCCTAGCTCTCAGGCCTTTGCCCTTTGAGCTGGGAAGAGCTTGGTTAGGCAAACCGCCCTTCAAAAGTAAAGGCTAAGGCTTTAATTTTGCAGTTTCAGGAACCCCCTCAAGAAAGTTGGACATTTAAGGCGACCCCGGAAACAGTCACAATAAACGGAATCAGGGCCTCTTGTGGGCAACCCCCTTTGTGTGACTCACGAAGTTATCTTAAAATTTGATGGTTTGGGCACCACTTCAAAATAAGGGGCTTGCTGCTGTTTCCCGGCCTTGTTTGCCCGATGTTTGGCCCGCTGTTTTGCCTGGATGCTTTTTGTCGGCAGAAACAACTTGACATAAACCATGGTACCGAAACAGTGGGGCGTCGCGTTTAAGCCGAGGACACTTGACATAACTCAGGGTACCAGTATTAAGCCAGGTGCGGCATTATGAATTCTGATTGCTGGATTTTTTGTGGACATTCAGGTAGAGATTTACGTCCCTGCCGCTTAACGCCTAGTTTCCAGTTGACACCTAGTTTCCTGCTGCAAATTCACCACAGCTACCGCCTTGCTATCCATCAGCATTGGGGAGCGCTCGACTTTGTCTGGCGCGAGCTGAGATTGCATGTCGCAGAGAGCCGGCATCAATGATTGCTGGGTACCGGGACAGCTCACACACCCCGACAGATCGCAGGAATGCAAGACTGAGTTGGAGCACCCAGCATTGCCGCCCATAGCTTGCCTTTCCAGAGAGCCTCGCAGCCAAGGGTGTTTTGAGCCAACGCCACATGCCAAGCATCCTGATGGCCATGACATGAAGGTGGTGTCCAAGGCTCCCATCCAGGAACCGCGATTCAGGCGCTTGACTTTCAAGCAGCCAGGGCCGAAGCCTGGCATTTCAGAACCTGGAATTGACCAAGACAGTTGTTTGGCCTTTTTGAGTACGCGTGTCTACTTCCTTGTTCCATGGAGATTTAAAGTACCCTCGGTATAAAACTGCACACACACACACACACACACACACACACACACACACGCGTGCACGCACGCACGCACGCACGCACGCGCGCGCGCGCGCGCACGCACGCACGCACGCACGCACGCACGCACGCACGCACGCACGCACACGCACGCACACCCACACCCACACCCACACCCACACCCCCACCCGCACACGCACACACACACACACACGCACACACACACACACACGCACACACACACACACACACACACACACACACACACACACACACACACACACACACACACACACACACACACACACACACACACACACACACACACACACACACACACACACACACACACACACACACACACACACACACACACACACACACACACACACACACACACACACACACACACACACACACACACACACACACACACACACACACACACACACACACACACACACACACACACACACACACACACACACACACACACACACACACACACACACACACACACACACACACACACACACACACACACACACACACACACACACACACACACACACACACACACACGTATATGTATATGTATATGTATATGTATATGTATATGTATATGTATATGTATATGTATATGTATATGTATATGTATATGTATAACATATATGTGTATGTATCTGTTCGCTACGTTCTTTGGTGTATCCATATACGTATATATATATATATATATACATTTGTATGTATCTAGAATTATATATATATATATATATATGTGGTAGAGGTCTGGCACCCCCCCTCCCCCGCCATGGTCATGGTAGCCTTAAATAGGGCCCCACCCCCCTGTGGGCCCGCTGGGTTTGCAGGTTATGGTCATGTTATGGTCATTTTGCAAAAGGCCTCCCCCCCCCCCCCCCCCACAGGGCCCGCTGGTGTGTTCCGGTTAGGGCCAAGGCTTCGAGTCGTGCCCCGGTGTGCGCTCCCCCTGTGGGCCCGCTGGTTTTGCAGGTTATGGTCATCTTGCAAAAAAGGCCTCCCCCCCCCCCACAGGGCCCGCTGGTGGGTTCTGGTGAAGGCCAAGGCTTCGAGAGTCGTACCCCGGTTGGCGCTCCTCCTGTGGGCCCGCTGGTTTTGCAGGTTATGGTCATCTTGCAAAAGGCCTCTCCCTTCTGTGGGCCCGCTGGTGGGTTCCGGTTAGGGCCAAGGCTTCGAGTCGTGCCCCGCTGTGCGCTCCCCCTGTGGCCCGCTCGTTTTGCAGGTTATGGTCATCTTGCAAGGGGCCTCTCCCCCTGTGGGCCCGCTGGTGGGTTCCGGTTAGGGCCAAGGCTTCGAGAGTCGTACCCCGGTCGGCTCTCCTCGCTGGTTTTGCAGGTTATGGTCATCTTGCAAAAGGCCTCTCCCCCGCCCCTGTGGGCCCGCTGGTGGGTTCCGGTTGGGGCCAAGGCTTCGAGAGTCGTACCCCGGTCGGCGAGCGGCCACCCCCCCCCCCAAAGTGGGGGGGGGATACCATTGGGGGGGGGGTGGCCGCTCGCCGACCGGTACCGTATATATACTTATATCGTAATGGTGCATACGTGTTTTTGATTCCTTTGAGCCAGCCAAGCCATCTGAGGAGCGTCGTTGACTTGGAGGAGGTCCCGGCCAGTGCTGTGGAGGAAGAGACCCGCGCCTTCCGAGCCTCCGTGGCGTCGCCTGAGCCCAAGGGAACTAAGAGGCCGGGGCGCCAGGACGCGAGAGCCAAGAAGCCCGTTGCAAGATAAACCAGAAGTGGGGAGGGAAGCGTGGATTTGGCTTGGGCCAAGAGGCTTCTGCTTGTAGGATGTTGTGAGGGGCAACCAGTGTAAGGTTTCATTTCCCACTCCCAAACAAATGGGGCAGGCACACAATTGGTAACAAGCAAGTGGGCCAGAATCAAAACGTAGGTAAATGAAGTCGCCAGAAATAGGTGCCGATATGCGCCCTTTTGATTCGTTACATTATTCTGGGTATGACTCGAGCAGGGGTAACGATATATGAATATATGCATATCCCTTTAAAGCCTTTAAACTGGGGTGATGTTTACGGGGCAACAAATCGCTGGACCCCCTTTCAGCCGCAATTGAAAAGGAAGCCAACAGGAAGCCAAGCATATAACCTTAAAAACAAATAAACAAACACCCATGGGAGCCGTGTCAAGTGCTTTGCCAGGAAGCTAGAGGAGCCGGCTGCGGGCGTTTCGGAGGGTGACGCGACGGTCGCCTCACAACAGGAGGGCATGTGCCAAAGGGATGTGGACCCATGGCTTCCTCCCCTGGGTACTCTTCCGCCAGGCTCAGGTGACTGGGGTGCCATGTTAGTGGCACGTGGTGCCGTCGCCAAACAAAAATACCGCCAGGAGAGCGTCGAGCCGGAGGTGCTGGAGGAGAGATGGTTCCTGGCACTGGGCAGCAAGACTTTGGCCTGCAGGGAGTGGGGAAGGGTGCATCATGACTTGCCTAGGTTACCTATATGGTATGTGTGTTTCTTTTCAGGTTTTATAGGGAAGCCAACAATAATGCCGCAATTCCGGGGGTCCCCCATATTTGGACAGACTCATTGGATCAGACGATAATGTTGTAGCCTTTTACCATGAGCAGGGTAGATCAAGATCCTTGTGTGCGAATGATCATTGTTGTTGTGGCACGGCACTTGGGTGTGTTTTTCCAGGATTGTTGGCGTTCAGCACTACGATGGTGTCGTTTCTGACCGCGAGAACGTGGTCCTGCGCCGACAGCCTACCAACATGTACGACCCCAATGCCATCCAGGCCAGGCTGGAAAAACATATCCACACTTGTCTTGTAGACATGTTACTGAAACCGCTACAGAGCCGGAGTCATCAACATGCTTGCCTGTTGAGTCGGGTGACGTGTTAATATAGGGATCCCATGGGGAACCTTGATTCATTCATTCTGCATATTCCCAGTTCGGCCTCAGGCGCTACGGTGTCCTCATTTCGGCTAATGAGGTAATGAAACCGCATTTTCCCCAGAGGGGTGGGCACAGTGGCTATATGTTGATTCCATATCTTCCCCATTTTGGGTGAGGGTTGGGCAGTGGAAACCCGACTTGGTTGTTCAACCCACTTTGTAAATAGGTAAGTCAACAATCCCCTGTTGTCCCACGTGCAACCATGGCTATGGCCCGGTTGCGTGGTTTGAACATCCAAGTCGACACTTGGCTCGGGTGTATCACAACACACCCTCTTTTTGCTCCGTTAAGCAGGGGGCTGGTGATGGAAACGGAAACCTCAGGTGCTCAACATCCGTGGGGAGCAAATCGGCCACGTGCCCCGGGAGATGGCTGCGGCATTGGCCCCGGTCATGGACTCCAGCGAGGAGCTTCGGGTGGAAGGCCACATCCCCCGGGGCTCTGGGAACGTGTTCTCCATCCCGCTGCGGCTTCAGGCGGGGTGGTTGGTGGTCGTGATGTTTAGCATTCGCAGAAGTAGCGTAAGCAGTAGAAGAAGTAGTTGTAGAAGAACTAGTAGGAGTAGTAGCAGCAGCAGCCATCAAAGTAGACGTAGCAGCAGTAGTTGAAGTAGTAGTTTGACAGACATACAAAGACTCAACAAGTAAGCGCACTCAAACAAACCAACACAACGAAACAATAGACAGACAGACAGACCGCCAGGCAGGGCGGTGTGCTCTGTGTTGCAGCAGGGCGGTCTGTCTGTGTTGCTTTTGTTGATAACTATGTACATATATATGTATCTATAGATATATGTATATATTATATACATATATATATATATATGTCCTTTGGGGCGGGAAAATACGTCGGCTGGCTTTCTGGATCTCTGGATGTTTGTCCCCTCCCCCCCCTCCCAGCAACTTGCAACAAACCAGACAAGAAAGCAGGCCAGCAAAAATTGCAAACAAACAGACCAACAACTAGGGCCAAGAACGACAAGAATCGTAGTGCTTACAGGGTTTCATCCATTCCAACTGGTGCATGGCGTATATTTGTCCATTAGTCTCGCAAACAGATTTCCGCGGACACGGCAAACAAGTTGTGAGATACGACAAAGTCGCAGCTGCGATTTTGCTTGTTCTCCCGCTGTGTTCAGTGCAGCCTTTCTGTCCTTTCTATATGGTGAAGTCCCACTAAGCGGGTCAGCCCCCAAAAAAAATCCCTACCGATGGATGGCTTGCCAGGTCTTCGGTCACGACCCGAGGGGTCACCTGGCGCCACGGCTGCGGAGCTTGGGGGACCGTCTGCAGCGCACCTACTGCGCTGCTGCCCGCGGAGCCGTGGAGGTGAGGGCTGGACGTGGGTTTTTGTGTGAAGGGGCGCCCTTGTTCTCGCTCCCCGAGTTCCTGGACTCGGTACTGTGGGAAGGCCACAATGTGTGTGAAGCATTTTTTGGAGTCAAACAAGAAGCTTGAACTGCTTTTGGCCAATCCGCCCAGATTTGTGTAGTATGTGTTGTTTTCAAATAGTTTCAAGGGAAACAAAAGGAACACCGCTCACTTTGAGGATTTCCTCATTTTGGGAAACGGGCACATGCGGCAATTCATACACAATTGCCGAGGATGCGCGCTTGGTTGTGGCTTGCAGCTGCTTTCACCGTATTCACCAAAGGTCAGGACACGTTTCGCAGCAGCTAGCTTTTCTCCACACCTCACTTCCCGAGTTCCTGGTATTTTAGTGGTGCATAACAAGTTTGGACTTTGGCCAATTCACTCAGGAAGTTAGATTCTCAGCTGAGCCTTGCCAATGGCTTCCCACTTGTGAAGGGGCCCCCCCTTTTTGTTCCTCCAGCATGCTCTCCACCCCAAATCCATGGATTCCCTATTTCGATGCAGCATGTGAGGTGGTGAGCGCTGCTAGTGGCACGCCGGTGCAGGAGCTGACGCCACAAATGCCCCACGGCAGCGTCAAAAACACCTGCGGGAAAGACGAGTTTGGGGGCCCAATTGTTTTATATTTGGGGGCTTGCCGGCCTTCCTTAAGGATATTTCTGGCAACTGCCCTGGACCGTGCCTCTTTGTGGATTTGCCCCATGTGCATTGTAGACGTAGGACATCATGTCAGTTCAAACTGCACCGTCAATTCTGCGAATGCTTGTTTCATGATGCCGTGGGCCTTTCTTTTCTCACTCTAGCTCAACATTCTCTGAATATTGTATGTGTAGCATCAACCCACGGATCGTTTAGAACACGGCAACATATCTCGAGATGTTCGGTTTGCCAGCAAATGACAAGGTGTCTTGAGCATCAAGTTGGTTGTTCAGCGTTCGTCCTCAACTGTTCCGACATATGGTGTCTCAACTGGCTGGATGTTCCTTCTTTACTTTCAAACATCATAAGAGGGTGCAGGTGCTTGCATAAGTTGTTGTTTCTACCTTTGCTGGTTTTGTCAAGTGAAGCAGTTTCTTCATTGGACCATGTTGCATGACCTCACTCATGAAGACCGTCGCGTGGCATGAACCGAGTCTTCTTATGATGATGGCTGAAGAAAATTAAGCACGCACGTAGGTTTTACAACCAGACATGACTACAACCGGCAGCAAGAGTGGTAAAACTTGTTGTTTTGCAGCGGTCATTCCAGGAGGGTTCTCAACCTCATGTCTCAATAATCCTCCCAAAAGGCAAGTCAAGTGCCTCTTGGAGCCTTAGGGTCAACAATGTTACCCCAGGTTGGCAATGCAAACAACGCTGGCAAATTGCATGGCTGAGCCCTTGCCTACCATCTAATTACTTTCATTCCGCTGCAATTATAGCAACAAGAGGACAACACTAGCGACAAGTTCAACACTTAAGACTTGTGTCACTTGAGCTTGGTCAACTGCGTCCAGCCTCGGACAGTTAGATAATCATTCTCCTTGCCCATCTGCATAAGGGGGATGCGTGCCGGTGTATTCACTTGTAAGTTGCGTCAACACGGACTCTGACGACGATCTGCCTGCTCACTAGGCCACGTTGCCAACGCAGTTTGTTTGAAATGCCGCCTGCAATTTGTCCAGCCGGTTCCTTCCAACGTACTCGGTGAGATTGTGCGAGTTTGGATGTTGATAGGGCAGGCCCATGAATCCGATCTTTTCTGGCCACCATTGTCTTCGAACTGCATCACAACCGGCTTCGGGGACCTTCGGCTTTTCAAGGGAAGCCAAAGCGCGGCCGGCAAGTCTGGCACTGTAGGTGGCGGGAGATCATGGGCGGCCGGCCCTTGAAGAATCCACGGAACGAGCGCTTGGGCCCGGCGATGCACGAGGTCATCGAGCGAGAGGCAGGAGCAGGATGCTTGAAAAACTCTAGTCAACTATATGCACTCGGGCTGCTTTTGGCCAAGACACTCATGAAAGAGTTTGAAGCATAAACTGGGGTCTTCGGCCTGAAGCAGACCCGAGGTGGAGGAAATCTTCCGGGACCCAGGGCACTACGAGGCAAGCCCCCTGGCCGAGCAGCCTGAGCTCCTGAGGACGGAACTGTACCCGCACCTTTGGCATATCTCGACGATCAAATGCATGCATGGCAAGTGTCCTTGGCAAAATCTCCCGGCATGTTTGTACCAATGTTTCGTGTGGAGTTGTGTATATTTTCCATATTGTAGGTTGATAACATGCGCGCACACACACACACACATGCAGTGAACAGAGACTAAGTCAGTTCGTGGCGATTAGCCTCCGGAATAAGTGAAATTTGGAACTGGCTTATTTGCAGCAAAGGCTCTCGAGCCACCTGGGCTGAGGCACCAGCTCAAGGCCCTGCATTGGATGCTGCAGCAGGAGCGCAAGCTGACGGTGGCCGAGAAGTTGGCTGAAGTGGGAGGAAAGGCACAGGCCTTTTTTTGGACCAAGGAGGCACACTCCAGCGGTCAGGCGGGAACGGGATTTTCAAAACAGTCACAAATCAGATGCTTTCACGTGTTGACATGTCTTGTGCTGGCTTTCACGTTTGCGATCGTTGGCACCAAGCCTCTTCGGAAGGGATGTCACCAAAGATGACGCACGTCGTGACAGAAAGCT